TATATAAGTATAGGACTAAGAACACAAAAACAGAATGGGATAGAAATCAACTTGTCAAAAAATCAATTCAGTATACCAAACCCAGAATATGAACCAAATATACAAAAGACTAAACTATACGCGAAAAATGTATACGGAAGAGGAGATTACGGAAACAGACCATTACAACTATCGGAAGTAAAAGACTCAGATGATGAATCAGATTTTTGTGAAAGAATAGAAATGCTAAATGAAGAATCAGATAACGATATGAAAAATGTTGATGAACAAGAAAGAAGAAAAATGGAAAGAGAAATAGAAGAAAGAAGAATGATGTTAGATCTAGAAAATTCACTATATGAAACAGAGGAAGAACACCCATGGGAACAAGAAAAGATAATAGATTTAGGAAAAATATATTATTTAGGAGGAAAAACAAGAGAAGAAAAGAAATATGAAAAATATATAGGAACATTTAAAGAAAGCGGAATAAGAATAGTACTCTATGAAATAGGAAATGAAAAATATGCTAAAAAATATATTAAGAAAAAAGAAGAAAAGAATAATAATTGGATAAATTGGCATGATAAAAAACAAATAGTAGAAAAAGAAGACAAAAATTTGTTAGGAAGCTATTATAGAAGAAAACATCCTCATTGGAGAAGCAATAATCCAGAAAATAAAATACAAATTTTAGAATATTGGAAAGAATATTACCACCCAGAGCAAGAAGAAAGAGACCAGGAAAGAATAAAAATAAAAGAAAAATTATTCGAAGAAATATATAAGAAAGGATACAAACCAAAATGGTATAAAGAAAAGAAAGAACAATATCAAGAACAATCTATATGGAAAAAGACTATGGAAAATATGGATAATGAAATAATCAGAACAATGAACAAAATGGAAGAAATGAACAAAGAGACAATAAAAAGATATGAAGAAAGGAATCTATACAAAATAGAAGAAATACTTATGCTAGAAGAAATGTCACAAACAGACGAAGAACTAGAAAAGAGAGAAAGCGAAAAGCAAAAACATAATGGGACAAGATTTGTAATAATAATACTAAAAGACGAAAACGGAACATGGATATCTCAAAGAAAGAATCCAGAAAAAATATACCACAAATATTGGCAATACCCAGGAGGAAAGGTAGAAGATCATGAAACTTATCAAGAAGGAGCTATACGAGAATTAAAAGAAGAAACAGGAATAAAAAGAAGATTAGAAGAATTAGAATACGTAACAACAGATAAATATGAAGGAATTACATGTA